GAAACAAAAGATCAGCCGGTTGAGAACATCACATGTTCGAAATATTTGTCACTTTTCGAGTGATGTCATGAAAATGAATGACAATGAACTTCAACTAAATGGCAATGGCACAAAAGAAATGAAACTGGCTGATAAAGGGCAAGTCGTTCTCGTTATGGTTAAGATTCTCCTCAAGCATTCCGCGTCATTCCATCATGGGTCGCTCCTCGGTGACCCGTGGCTCTGCTTCGGAGTTCCACTTCTTAAAAAAATTTTTATAACCCATGCATTCTTCGTATATGTTATTTTCATTCATCTCGCTATCTGCTCCTTCTTTTTCGCAACCTCCCGCATTCTTTGCTCTGCTTTCCATCAACTTTTCCAGAAACTATACTTTCGAACGACAAAGCAAATATGAGCTGTGTAAGTGCCTCATAGATGTGCCTCATCACTTTCTTCATGATTGAAATTCAGGGTGCAATCGTAAACTTCGCAGCTACTGCAAAGAGGCTCAAAAGGGCACAGCAAAAGAAATTGCACAAGCCAGCCTTTCATAGTCCAGTCGAGAAGATATCAGCACCATTCAAGGCAATAGCATCTGACTTATCAACAGGCCATAAAAAGGTTAGTTTGTTGGGTGATGATTTGTGAATTATTTGTGCAATCTAATGAGAAAATTTTTGAGAGGAAGAAGGATTCAGTTCTGAATACTGTGGCTGAAAAGTTGGATATCCCCACCGAAGCCGTTCCAACGCCCGTCAGGAAGATATCGGCTCCTTTGAAAACATTTGCATCTGAGTTGTCACCATCAGATCACTATAACAATGTAAATTCTATGGTATTTGCAATCTATGATTTCTAAGTCGTAATTTCAGGGCATCGAGAATGATCGTTTGAAGGCGGTTGCTCAAAAATTAGTTGAAGCAAGCGATACAGTTGCTGAAATAGTAAGTTTATTGCAAGTCTTAAAGCCTTTGGAAAAGTTTTTGCGCGGAAGGTTTCTAGTATGCAAAAAGGTCCTCAGCAAACTTTCTTATACGTACTTGGGGCCTAGTTCCCTCTTAGTCAAGTTAGCAGAACGCATGAAAAATGGCATACTGGATAATTCTCATGAGTAAGCAACACCATAATGAAATTTCAAATGAACGTGAAGAAACCTTACTGGGATGCCGAAAGTGGGAGATTGCCGACGCTACCGTTGTGCATATCCCAAACTATTTCATGTGCGATCTTTGAGTTCTTCCCTTTGACTTGTCAACTCCCAAAAAACAAAAATTTTGCTCTCTGCTTTTTTGGAGTGCACAGCCACTAGTTCTCTGAGCAGTTCATGGTGCGATCGCAACGCCTAGGCCACAGAATTTGTAAAACTTTTTTCATCATAAAGGGAAGGGAAGTCGCGAGATCGCGAAAAACTATCATTTGACCGCCGGCTGCACAATCTAGAAACTTAGTCCGGCATTTTGCTTTCTTACCATTTATACTAGGTTGTTTCAAAAGTTCTGTCCACTTCATTTTG